CCAATGATCATTTCAGATTAAGTATTTAGAGTTTGAAGGTGCGATTTTTATCATAAAATCCTTTATTACAAACATTATGTAATTGAAGCTTTTTCAAATCCAAGAATTTTAGAACTATCTTTAGTTTGTGGAAATATTTAAACTTTGCTTTAAGTTTATTTTATTGCATGTACTACAAAAGAGATTTCTTGAACTTTGGCAATTAAACTCGTGTCTCTCTCTTTTATTGTTCTATTTAACATACGGTAAGGTTATGCTCTAAGCCAAGGACGTAAAAGACCAGAAATAGAAGAAAAGTAAACTTAGTTTAATTTATTCTATGTACGTTTGATTACATTTATTCAAAAACCTCAGACGTTGTTCATGATGATCTAATAAACAAATAATGAAATGGTGTTGTTTTGTTTGGGAACCTTTTCTTGAATTTATTTATAGGCTTTTAGAATATAAATATGAAGTTTATGCTTGTGTAGAAGATAAATAACTGATGCATGGTAGTCCATGCTTTTGTTTCAATATTCAAAACCATTCTTCTGAAAATATTTTGCTAAAGCGAAGATAACCTTGCAAGATGGTTGTTTTAAGTGGTATGGGTTAAATGACGCACCTGGTGGCGTCCCCATCTCAATGATTGATTGATTGTCTGCTTAAAGAAAAAAAATTGTCTTGCAACATATGTAACTTTACTTCAATCAGTTAAAAGAAATTGTTCCTCAGATTTTACAGTACACTTTAAACTAGGTACATTTCTTCTTAATCACACAATGGAATTAATCTAGTGTTTCCACGTTTAGTTACATTACCGATAAGGTATTATTCCAACTCACACAGTGATTAATAAACTTTTACCATCAACTTAACGGTTAAAAATCTGTTTGGGAAAGTGTCATCGTTAGCAGATGGAGAATCTAAAACAAGTAGATCGGCAACTTTGTTGGACCTCATTCACCGTCGTATGCCAAGTACCACTTTTAGAATGCAATCTGTGCTACTCAGTTAGTACTCACCTTTTTGGACTCAGCTTCACAGTTTAAAATATCCTTAGCACCTGTACCTGAATAGCTTTGGCACGATAATTCTATTGCCAAATAGCTACGGAGCATTTCTGAACAAATTTATTTGTGTCCACTTATGCGTTATTGAGAGAGAAAGTTGATGACGTAACATTTTTAATTTTGACTTTGTTGCATGTCACTGCAGTGCATTAGTTTAAAAGTAATCATAAGTTGACTACTGGCTCAATCCTGGGAAATGTTAATACCGAGTTTGAAACTGATTCCAGCTGGAATTAATTATTTTCCTACTGTTACCTAACAATGTGCAGGGCCGCGTTAAGGGTCATTGGAGCCCTGGGCAAACCCAAGAGCAGCGCCCCCCTTTTTTCCTAGTGCTGGCGGGCGGTGTTGAGGGCACCTGGCAGGCGCCCGCTGGGTGCCCCCAAACCACCGGCGCCCCTGGGCATATGCCCAGTCTGCCCGTTTATAAAAGCGGGCCTGACAATGTACATGTTCTCTCACTGGATTTGAGAAAGCAAAGTGGCCAATTCGCTCATCAGTGAGACCATGTTAACATTGTCTCACTCTAATTACTTTGTCTCACTCGCTCCAGGTTTGCAACGTGAAGGCACGAAATAGTGAGCGCGTATTATGCAGACAAGGTCTTATGCGCGCATTTGTCTATTAATAAATTGATGTGTGCTAAACAAACATAACTGCCTGTTTCATAATAAGCTAAAAACTAATATTATTGGTAAATCAACTGATCGCCCAATGCAAATCTAATGGAAATTACAAGCAAAAACTTGTAACTTGTAGTTTATTATGAAACAGCCCCCATGCAAGGCCACAATTTTAGTGTGGCCTTGCCCCATGTCTATTTCATTTGGGGTCGCTTTAGTTAAATGGGCCCGAGCCAAAGGGGCAAAAGGGGGCTTAGGTTTGTTGGGTTTACAAAGAAGAGAAAAAGTCCTCAATGAAGGGGGGATGGGGTGCGCTTATCTCGTGGGCCCGCAGCGCAGGGTTGCCACCCGTCCCGATTCTGATTCCTCATGCCCATATTTAAGCCTATATTTTAATCGGGGGGAGTGGGGCCATGTCCCGGTTTTTCCGTAAACTATGTGGCAACCCTGACGTAGCGTGTCACATGCAAACTTGGGCTTGAATTTAGTAACTAAGATACCCTTCCTTAGTAGTGAGATGGCTTGCATCTCACTCATAGGTGTTAATTTTATTAAAACCACAACCGCCATGAACTGATCTGTTCTATGTAAAGCTATGTAATATACGTAGTTAATTTGCAGATCATGTCACATTTTTAGTTACAGGTCGATAATCACAAAAATATGCTATTTTTTTCCATTTAAAAACACTTTCAGGCTCCTAAGTGATTTGCAGATATTATTTCTATAACTAAACTAACCAAAAGAAATATTTTCCCTCTTCTTAATCATCCTTTTGACACAAATTTTTAGTTTATTCTGGTCTTGCATAAATTAACTCTGTACTCACTCAATTCAACATCAACCTGGCCAAAAAGGCTGGGGCGGATATTGTTGATAGCTAGAAAAACTGAAACAGTGGGGTGCCTAGTACTGTATAGAGTTTTATAAATAAGTGTCAACAATTTAATTTTTGGTTCAAATTCCTATTTTATGTTCACAGGAAACCTACAAAAGAGAATGTAGCCGTCCAAGTGACACCACCTCGCCGTGAAAATCAGCCAATCAACATAGCAACTCTCTCCTTCCTGGACAACCCAGACTTGGTAATTAAATGTACTATTTAAAACATTCTTTTATTGTATACAAGATGGGCTCAATTCATACTTGGCTTAAAATGAACTTTGTATGGTCGCCATTTGATTGAAAAGTATTAGAAGATGCAAATTTTATGTAGCTAACAAAAGCATTTACTGTCCAAACAGATATTGACAATGATATGATGTGAGGGCGTATGTCAATTTGCTTGAGCCAAAATAATTTGTCCGACCCCAGCGGTGTCATAAGCAATAAATGCTCTTTCGCTCTTTCCCTGGCCAAATTAGGTTGTATAGACCATTAACTGTCTTTTATTTAAAAGTAACAACCTTCTGTTACCAAAACACTGTTCTACTGTAATAGGACCTACTGTTTTGCCACTATTTCCTGTTTGAAAGTGAGGGATATTGCCGTGTCCAAGCTCTAAAGAGTAAATATCTGTGAAGGTAACTTAACGACAAAAGATGATAATGTCGGCCCTCCAAGAGTATCATAAAACCAAACCCTAAAAAAAAAAATATGCAAGAAAAATGGCTAAAAGCTGTAACATACACTGTAACCAAGTCAAACTTAGATGTACTCGTGTGTAACATTTCTCTCGTGCAGCAAAGTGCCACTTTGCACTCTGGTTACACAAATAACTATTGTATACTGAAGCTTTGTTCTAAAATGAAAGGCTACAGAGAAAAAAAACTGTACATTTTAATTCCCATCTTATTCTTATGGAGTAAAAGAATACTGTTGTGTTTAGCAGCAAACCTTATGTACTTGTTGAATATAATATTAAATGGGGAATAAATATTTATGGAAATATTTTAGTGAAAATCCAATCAGAATAGTCTGCAGGTTTGCTGCGGTGAGAGAATTGTGTGTGTATCTACCGTACACTGTACACTTGAGTTAAAAGAGTTTTTACTTTGTTGAATGTTGCTCATAACATAAAGGAGAAAATTATGATAAAATTTTAAGTATAATTAAATCAATGAACTCTTTCTGGGACCCCAAAAATAGGGTGGTCAAAAGTCACTTGGACGAAAGTAACAAAAGTAAAAATGATTTCAGATGTTTGTGAAGGTCCCCAAAACACCGTCACCTTTACTAAAAACCAAAGTTCTGGAAGAAGCTGACCATCTTTTGGCTGTGGCTGAGAAAGAACTGTCTTCAGTTGAGGCAAAAATATCATCTGACCGTTTATTAAGTGCCAAGTAAGACTAATCATCTGTTTTTAGTTTGTTTGGGTTTTAAACTTTAAGGTTAAAATGCACTTTTTAGCATAACACAAGCTTGATTTAGTAATGATACTTTTTGGTAAGTTTTTGTAGTTTTCTTGCAATATGGTAATAAAGGAAGTGTTAAAATAAGTTGAAAGTGCATAATATGTGACAAATTGTTTTTCCTTGCCAAATAACCTCATTAGATCCATATTAGTAAAATAATTCAGGACTGACTGTACCTTAATCTCTAAATTAAATTGAAGTTTGGTTTTGGTTTTTAAAGAAGACTGAAACATTTTATCTCTTAAAATTGTCAAAGTAAGGAAGAGGCTACAACAATAGAAAATTACTGTAAAATATTGTAACACTCAGTCTAGTTACTGGTAGGTAGTAATGGTAAGTTTTATCAAATCAAATCAAAATCTCCTTTATTCATAAATTTACAAGTACAATGAATAGTCAGTGAGAAAATGTATAATGGTAATGTAATGTAATCATATTATTTAACAATTAAAATTATTTTAATATAACTAATAACTGTTTCAGGACGTCTTCTTTGCAAGCGAATGGGCTCTCTGCAAGAAGGGTGAGTTTCTGTGATAATAATAGCAAATGTATTAACCCTCAATAAATTAGCATCTTTTTAATACAATGGATAATAGTTGACATTTTATAAATTCGCCAAATTTGTATGTAACTTAAAGGGTCCTTAGAGGCTAGCGACCATCTTGGATAATTTCAAACAGTCACTGAAGAGTTATTTACATCTCAAAGTATTTTTTCAAACACCAGAGGTATTGTAAGTTAAATATCTAGTAAACTGTGAGATAAGAAATTTTCTTTGTACCGCTAGTTTTTTAATTGTTTTACGAGTTAGAACGTCTTGGCTCCGAGGAATCTTAATTGAATACAGTAGACCTGACTTTACCACTGTGAATTTTATTTGGTAAAACTGGAACATTGGCCATTGAAATTACAATTAGTTATATGCTAGTAGCATTTCACTTTTTACTTCAATTTCAGATCATGGCTGCTCTACCTTTAAGCCCAACAAAAGGAAGTATTCACAGCTCTTCTTCATTAAATAGCAGATCCAAAACTAGCTATCAAGTTCCTCCTAATTCATTATCATCTTTTAATGTTCGTGGAAATGAAGAAAACTATAAAAGGAACAACGGGGAACAGAAGAGATTAACTCATAAACTTCGTTCACAAACCAAAGATCCAAAACCAGCACGAATTACAAGTGAGTTACATCACAGTGAGTTAGAGGAAAGCAACATAAAGAATCATCCGGATGTAACTGAATTCAGCATGTTTTACGAGCAGCAAAAATTAGTAGAGAAGAAAACACAGAGCTTCGAGAAGAATTCGGCGACTGTAATTTTCAAGTCAGATGCCAAAGTTGTTTCTAGTACATCAGTTGTCAAACAAGATGCTCACACAAATACTAGTCCAGTTCTGCAGAACGATCGATCCAACATAACGTTTACCCGTAACTCATCGATTATTAGTATGAAAACAAACAAACCAGAAGAAGAACAGCCTCAAATGCTATCAAGGAAAACATTAGACGTCCAAAAAATGCCTTCGGTCAATATAAGACCAGGATTCACAATTCAACATGGACCTAAAATCAACATTGTCGGTTCAAGTGTAAGTTCACACAAACTGAAGAGGAAAAATACAGAGTTTTTCGACGTGGTTTATCCTCCAAGTAGTCCTGTTTTTAGCGAGTCGTCGTTTATTTCAGATCAGGGAAGACAAAACAAACAAACAGAGTACATATGTGATAGACATTCATTCCCTAGTGGCCGTCTGGTTCCCGGTACATCAAGTGAAAATTTGAGAGAAAATCATCCAAGTAATTTAGATGAAAAGAGAGAAGTTTTAATAGAATTGATTAAATCGGTGACAGAAAAAGTGGAGAAACAGCCAAGTCGAGGGAATAAAAGCTGCTGTCGTCTAATTTGTTCTCTGCCTCTTCTTGCTTCAGTTGTGAGAAAAATCCAAGTGGATTGTGTGAAATGTGTGGACTTGCTGAACAGTCATTTAGACAGACTTTTAGTGTTGATGAAAGAAGAACTGCGAGGTAACAGGGAGATCTCAGACAACCATTGTTGCCAGTTAGACGAGACAGTTCATTACCAGATTGTGGAGCTGGAGTTGATTCAGGAGGAGAACAAGAAGAGGCAAACAGCGCCTGTAAATGTCGTGAGGCACAAAGGTTAGTAATTTAATTTGCTCACTGATACCTCTTAAAAGTTTTGACAACATACTTGGTAACTTTACGAAATGAAACAACAGACAAATTAAAATAATAGTTCATTATACCATTTGATTCAATTTTTTTCTTGAAGCATGTAAACAGAAAAATTAGTATTGAGGAAATGACATCTGTTAACATTTATTATTAGTTGATGAGAAGAGAGAAATGTGAAAGGTTAAACATGAGATTTGTATTTGTAAACTTGTTTTACAAAGACATTTGCCATTCTAAACTAAACCCTGTAAAAAAAAGGCATACAGCTTCAGGCTTGTTATATATGTAAAAAAAGATAAATAAAAAAAAACAGAAATAGGAATATTCATTTAGTATTGATAGAAAATAGAACATGCAATGTCTATTTTTGTTTTAATGGGTATTCAAAAGATTATCAAAAATATGTTTTTACAATACCCTCTTGAATATCACCCCTTTTGTAATGATAACGAACACGTTTTTGTCTGCTTGATAAAAATTTCATAATAATTACAATTTGCTCTATCAAGTGCTGGTCAAAATAAATAAAATACTTTGTAGAGCTTAAGTGCACAATTTTCTTCGATGCATAATGAATGTGACTTTAAAGATTTTTATAGTTTGAAATTGGTTTTGCAAATTTATTTAACATATTAAGTGACAAACAACTTAATAAAACAAGTGTAACATGACTTCTAATTGACATTATTGAATAAACTTGTTACTGAACTCTCAATAATTTTCCAAATAAAATTGTATTGTTTACAGATGAGAATTGTCATGGAAACACCTGATTTAGTTAATCTATTTCACTGACTGGCTTATAATAACGTACATTTTTATACTGTAAAAGTCAACTCAAGCTCCAGCAAGATAGTTAATTTAGTAACCAATTCAAAATTTACCATACAGTTAAACAGTTGTAATAGTTCAAATAAAACTATGTGTGGAATCTTTGTTTATTTTTTTTAGATTTCATTATTTTATTTAGAAAGTGTGAAAGGGAAAATCTTTTGGTTTTTTCCAAACTAGTTTGTTTTTTAATGTGTAAACAGTAGAATCCGTGTCTCAATACGCAGGATATTTATCCCAAAAACTTGGATTTTTAGACCATGTGGGGTATTGAAACGGAATGCAGGTTGAAATGGAATTTTAGTCTCTGACACCTGGTTTTATTTTTATTGCAAGGTTTAGACACCTATTTTAACATAATACCACTTGTCACTAGTGTTAGCACTATATGACTTTTACTAAATTCGTAGAGAATTTTTTATTATATTAAAGCGGGATAAAACAAGATTTTTCCTACCACTGCATGGGAATGATCACATTGCCATACCTAGTAAACAGTATACATGATAGCTGATTGCCACTCTAACTGATTTCACAGTTGTCGTTTGTATAGCAACCACAGCCGCGGATCCGTTACGTTATTCAACAATCGGTAAATAACACATCCTTAAAAAAGCAATCATAACCAAAATGGCATTTTATGTACATCTAAAAAGTTAATCTGTGTGTTATTATAAGTTAATTATGGTGGTAGGAAAAATCTTGTGTGTATTACGAGCAGAAACAGTCATTGCCGCTCTCGAAATGTATGGCCAAAAACCCCACATGTAACCACCATGGTGTGTGTGTGTGTGGATTTGTTGATGTATGTATGGACTGAGACAAAGCTTTGTGCGGCCATCTACAGTTCTCGAGCGGCACAGGGCCGGCCCGAGGGTGGGGCCAGCGGGATGCTGCGGCTTTGGAAGGTAAAAATTTAACAACTTTATCGGCAAACGAATATTTTACGGGAAACTCGTAAACATGTAATCAATGACAATGACTCTAAAAAAACGCAATCTATAGCTTTTGTTTTATTCAGCTTTTGTTTTATTCATAAAATAAATACCATTATATAATATACAACTCGTACTATCACTACCTACTTTTAAGTCTGGCATGTGACTTGTTGGCAATACTGCGAGTCCAAGACACACACACTGCGTATTCGCCCACACGCCCCACCTACACTTGCTTGTTTCCAACCTCAAAGCTCAAACTCTTACTTCAACTCATGGTCGTTTCGTGACGTCCGTTGTGAGTCGTAAATTCAATGTTTTTAGTGATTTAGTTCAGGGTAGTTGTTACGTTTATAAAAATTACTTGCAAAACGTTTGATACTTATATATCGGACATTGGGTCTATAGACGCAAACCCCATAAATACCTTTTTAGGGGAGGGGTGAAAATTTAAATCTCGCCTCGGGCGTCTATTACCCTCGGGGCGGCCCTGGAGCAGCAATGATGTACTTTGCACTCTTAATACACGTATAGCTATTCTTAATCTATTAAGTGGCTTTTTGTTTTGGTTGTGTGGAGACATTAGAATGGACAATTCAAATTATAATTGAAAAAATATCTAGTTTAGTCAACCTTCAACGACATAAACAGTTACCTTACCTTAACGGTGACCAAAACTAGTTTAAGGTAGGTTATTCTTTCCAGTAACCCTGACCTGTCCAATTCCTTACGGCAAAGGACTACGGAACCTCCTACCCTCCATCACCATCAACTCCATTTTCCGAGAAATTCTACGTTCTTGTAACCAAACCACATTTTGACTTTAATTTGTATACTCTCTCTTATGCTACCTATAATTATAACTAATACCTATAACTATACATTGTATTCTGATATCTTCATTCCTGTAGACTTAAACTGTAGCCCTTAAAATTTCATTTCTCCTGTTGGTTCAGTTCTTATTCAGTTATTTTTCCTCTACATTTCAACCTTCCTCCTCTAAGTAACTTTGGACAATGTAATGTCTTTAACATGCAATTCAAACATTCCATATCTTATGAGTTTTTAAAGTTTAAATCCTCTCTCTTACTGAAAAATTTACTGAAAAGTTAAAATTAAAGTTATTTTGACAGGTCTAATTCTAATATACTGTTTTATTTCTCATAGAGTTTGTTGCTGATGTTAGAACTCCCAAGAAATCAGTCTCTTTTGAATCAATTCCCGATGAGTTAGCTGAACAAACTAATACAGATACTAGTAAGCAATCCCGAACAATGAATATTATTAAACATTCAAGCCAAAAAATTGTGCCTGCGACTTCTGGGAAAGTATCAAAAATATCTTCTGTTCAACCAGCCACAACCAAAACAATACAAACGGTTAATAGGTACAATGATAGTGAAAAAAATACTCCAACATATCAGAGAGAATTTAAGCAAACAAATAACAATCGTATGAATCCTAAGAAGACAAATACTTCTTCCAATGCAAAAACCGTTGTTGGCCAAGTACTAACAAATCTGACCCAAAGGAAATCAATTCTGAAACATAATGAAATTACAACAAATTCAAGGTCTGGAACTGCCGGAGAAAGAAGTAAAGTACTTAATTCTTATGTAAAAATTGTTGATCATAAGGAAACAACTTCTGAATTTGAAAAATGGATAGAGGAACGAAGCCTTAAAATAAAACAGATCCATGATGAATTGAACAAAATGGTGGAAGGCTCGATGGAAAGATATTTGGAAACACATGCTCAGAAAGATGAAAATGTGAGAACAACCAGTTATCTAAAATTATTAGAATCATCTAACAGTCGAATAAGAGATGAAACCTGTATGAAGGAACCAGAAGAAACAGACGAAAGGAGGTAATTTTTCTTGAGTTATTCTATAAACGGTTTTTACATTATAAAATTAAAATCTTCACTTAGGCTACATTTAAAAAAGCATATTGGTAAAAAAGTATTTAGTAAACTAATGAATAATGATTGTATCCTGGTAATAAATACTATAAAGTTAGTAATCCAAACTCTAAAGAAGGAGTTGAACTAGAATGTATACAAATGTTTGTGATAACCATTTGGAGGTGGAAGTTCCTAGTCAATAAAATGTGTCACAAAACATTTTTACATGTCCAAACTCCAAACACAGCTTAAAGCAGAGAAGTTGCTGTGATTTCAAGTTTTTAAAATTTAATGTTGGCTAAGACATTTTAGGAAATTTACATAAACTTTTTTGTTTTAGAGACATTAAGCCGCAAGATGTTGAAGAGCAACAAACCAAGAATCGACAAATCGCAGATAATGTCTTTGAATCATCTACACAGGTATAATTGACATCCACTACATTTATATTGTCATCTTTAAAGTCACATTTTTTAACTGTCTGAGAATATAGGTTTGCCAATTTTTTTGCTAGTAAAATGTATATTTTTAGAACATTTTTCGCTCTGGTATTACTATTATTATCTATTAAAAAAAATAATTCTTTAAAGCGCAAAATGCCTTTGTTTTCTGAAATAGTTTTAGTCAAAAATGTATTGGCGTGGTAAAACTGGAATCTCTAATTTTTTTCCTGAGATTTTAATATACTCGTACATTTTTTTTAAGACAACCACTTAGATAAACAAGCTTTAAGTTTTGTTAAAATAAAACAGATAAATCTGTTATTGTATTATTAATGTTCATGGCCCTCCCTAGGATGACCTTCAAGATTATGAGGAAGATTTTGAAGAGGATGTTGAGGAGGGGACCAATGTGAATAGCACAGGTGAGTATTTTACCAAACCTTCATCGTTGATTCAATAATGCCTACGTTTATTGCACAAATTTAAAACTTCTATTTTATCCTCCTCAAACTGCCTGTCATTGCCATTTCTTTATGCCTATCAAAAACTGTAAGAACACCGCAACAGAGTTGGAAAACCAAGGCTGGAAAGATAGAAAAATAACTCCTCCCAAAGAACTTAGGTATAAACATATTACATTTTTTTAGGTCTACTGTATGGACATCGGCCAATAACTTCTTTATTGTAGTTCTTGGAGCAAGTATGTCAAACTACAAGTCGGATTATCTAGGGAAAATTTGATTTTCTGTATACACCAAAGATTTAGATTGATGTACAGAATTTTTTGTTAGTTTACTTAACTGGTTGAATTTGAACATAGAAACACCACTCAATCTATCACCATTCATTATACAAATGTATTATCTTCTCAAGGGTTATTTTGGGACGAATCTCTTCATTGGATACCCAACTGACTGAATCACATTAAGATAAGTATAGTAGACCCCCTCCTAACCGACCCTAACAGGACCGGACCTAGGTCGGATTAGGATAACTCGAAAGGCCTGTTAAAACGGACAATCTCTAAAAAACTTTCAAAATGAAGTGTTATTCGTTTAGAAATCAGCGGTTAAACCGAACTGCTCTCAAAACAAGGTCGGTTGAAACAAACTGTAATATTTCACAAGTGAGAGCAGTTAATCCGATGTTTGGCAAATGCGAGGTCGGTCAAGAAGGCGTCTACTGTGTCAATATTTAAAAAAAGTAATACAATACTTATGGATTATTGTTTTGCATTCCACAGGTTTAGAGCAACAATCTGGTAGTGAGGCTGAAAAAGAATCATCCGAGTCAATTATTGAAGAAATCGTCACTATCGAGGAGCCTATTGTAGGAGAAACTGCAGTAACTATTCAAAAGCTATCTAGTAAAGTCTCAAATATGATCATAGGGGGAAAAGAATCTCTTGAACAACCAGCAGAAGTAGAAGTTGATAAAAACATGGATGTTAAATTGTCACCTAATCAAAATATTTTAAACAATCAAACTGAAGCAAAGACGGAAAAAATTAGCATAGCAACATCCCCTATCAATTTTAATAGCACATCTCAAAAAACAGATGCATCTGTGAACACATCCTTTGCACTAATTGAAAATAAAAAAGTAACGGTAGCGACATCTCCTATAATTCAAACTGAGAAATCTTTGCCACACCTGAAATCTACAACAGTGCAAACTGTGAATTTAAGTGACTCGGAGACAAAAAGTGTGACATCAAA